TAAAAACATGATTCATAAAGAAGATAAAGCAGCGGAGCTTTCAAGCATATTACGAGACAAGCGTGACAATAGTGATTTTCGAAAATTTTGCCTGTTACTTGAAAATCATTCAGTTAATACGGTACGAAAATTTGGGAAAAAGTTGCTAAAGAAAGCAATGTGTCTAACAAAATCACCATAAGCAACGATTTAAAGGTTTAATGCGCTTTCAGTATACAGTCAATAAAATTACTAAAAACATAGCAATTATATTTTTTGATATAAATATAAAAATAATTTAAAATATAGGTATAAAAATGATATAATAACATGCAACACTCAAAGTGCACACAATCTAAAGTATTTTGACATTAACTTGCAGTTACAACCTTAGAATTATAGGTACAACTTGTTATTACGTTGATTTATGATAGCTTAATAGAAGTGTCTATTAATTATAATTTATTAACATAGGCGTTTAATGTCCAGATACATAGTTACAACAGATTAGCTTAAAGAATTGAACATCTTAAGTAGTTTATTGCATAAAGGATTGCACTTAAATCTAAAGCAGACTTTACTTGCAAAAGTTAAATTTATGTTTTAAGATAACTAGGCATTGTAAATTAAATAATCTGTTACCGAAAAGTCTGCACCTGTTTCGAGATACTAAATTACGATAATTTAATCTCACTGCAATTTTGGCTGAATTCTTATCCAATTCTAATATGCGTAAAATTTATGATAAAGAATTTCAAGCTCCATGGGCAAACATGTAAAAGACTATAAAACTATTAATTTTACCAAACTTATTAAATCTAGACGGTATAGGAGTCGAATGCTACGAAGTTATAATATACCATCCAAAATTTCTCATTAGTAACCATTTATGAAGTTTCAAAGTTTTCAACTTTCATCAATATTTATTCATTGGGCAATTGTGATTTAAGTTAATAAATAAGATGAGCATGAAAATTGAATGATGATACTTGATGTTGAAAATTGACTTACAGTAGCTTATATATATCATTCTATTAATGCTTTGCTACTCCTACTTTTCTGAAAATTCGGTTATTATACAAGTATGTAAGCTATCCTTATGTACATTAACATGAAAGCTTAAGTCTATAATACTGCAAAAGAGCATATAAAGCATTGATTAAAGATTACAAATTTAAGTTGGAATAAGAAGTTTGGAATTTTACAGGACTCTACTATACTCTATGTCATTCTGTATATGTTCTGAATACCATTAACAGTAGATTTATTCACCTAGAATTTGTACTCTATATACTGCACTCATTTTCATGAACTATAATTTCTACGTTTTACATTTGCAGTGCTTGATTCGACATCACACGTAGTCGATACCTTTCTAATTTATAGTACTCGAAAAAGCTGTTGGATGTTATTAATTTACAATATTAAGTAGAAGAATATAACCTAAATAAGGCTACAACACTAAACATCTCTAACTTCTCTGCTGTGCGATAGCATCGTAATAATTATTCTCGAAAACGATCATTTTGCTTACTTTTAAACGGAGAGTATCTTGAATATGAAACTCTCGAGTAAGAAATGCATACAAGAAGGTTTAACGATTTTTTATACTATAGCAAGCTTAAATGAGATATGGTATTATTCACTTTGCAAGATTTTGGATAATTTAATTGGATACATCAGAGAGGATAGATAAAATTCCGATTTTAACAGAATTAATCTAGATGGTTACAGATACCAGCTTCGCCTTATGAAAATTAAGAACTTCATACATTTCTTTCCCAGTTGTATATAACTTGACAACTATTTTACAGGTAATAATAGATTTATAATCAAATTATAAATTAGCTAAATAATACCTTTCTTTGGTGGTTTACAGGCCTGCAAGTGAAACTAAGTGACAACAAAACGATAAGAGTTCATCCTGAGACAAGTAAGTAATAGAATAGATTGATAACAATAATGTTATCCAACAATTAGGATAAATCAATCCGCAACAACGGCACAAAGGTATTTAAACAGGAATTATTTCTCAGCAGATGCTAAATACTGATTCATAAAATTTCTAAATGCAAGATATTTTGGATTCAATCATGGGCAATTAAAATCGGTTATAGCTAATTATTTAAATTATTGCGACGAAGTTCAATGACTTAATTAACGGATAATTTTGCAGTGTTAGTGTTCATTGCTAGCATCATTGCAAAGTTTAGTAGTTGCAAAGCGAGGTAGTCGGCTAGAAATGCTGAATTTTAAGAGAAATGAAATTTCGTAAATGAATTAAACCGTTAAAATCAGTAACATCAGTCATTGCTATTTCATGAATAGTCCATTATTAATACAAAGATTTCATAATTAAATAGACTAACTCATCAATGCGAATTGCTAATTCTCGTTATTTACACCCTTTGGCTTCTTTCATAATAGCTAGTAAGTTTTTCATTAAATCTTTCGGTTGTATTGCAGGCTGCTGTGAGATAATAGCTGTGCTTACTGTTTGAATCTTAAATTATAAAGAAAATCATTTAAACAGACATGGCATTTTTAATTAATGTCATAAAGTTATCTTCAGATACGAAATCATTGTATGGATGACTGATCTGAAGCAGTAATACATTTACAACTGCTACTGCAATTTAAGATCTTACAGTAGATTATTTTACAGAATCACAGTTAACATACCATTGTCATGGTTTTTGTCCAATCAGTTTCGGTTGAGCCTGAGCTCTTGATGCAACTTTCAAACTCATAGTTACTGCTGATATCAGATGATTGAGAAAAAATAGCATTATAATAACCTGTAAACATGTCGCATACTTTGGAGACATTCACTAAATCATGGCGTGTTCCTTCCAAGCAATCCGATGAATTATTAAAACACCGAGTAGATGTAAAATTGCCCAGAACAGCATGAACTTCTTGTCTCTAAATTAGACAGATAAGTAATTATTGCAGTGCGACTAGGTATCTATATAATTAGAATCAGAATTAGTAAATCTTTCTCATTATTACGTAAACTTGATTTTTCAATCAAACCATAACTTTCATATCAAGTTGGATGATTACATTAAATTTTATATTGTAGGATCAATTATAAAACATCACTTCAAATTAAAGCGTTGCGATAAGTTCTGCATAATAGTAAATAAGTATAATGTATTAATACCTTAAGAGTCATGATATACTTAAGGGTGGGTAAAAGCAACAACACAAATCATAAATATCATTTAAGAATAGTCACTAGCAAACAATCTTACAATCGAATTTTCAATTAATTCATTTTCTTTTAATCTTATTATTTTAATTTAAAGCTACGATGGACTACAATACATACTGATAGAATTTAATAAAGTTGAGTTCAACAGCTAAGTAAAGGAACATGAGTGATAGTGAACTGAATATTAGCACGATTATTTTCGCGAGCGTGTATTTCTCAAATGTTATAATTCCTATTTTAAGAAGTAGAGGAAACTACTAATGATGAGTTGATGAGGCTTATTATATGAATCCATAGCTGGGTGTCTTTAGCTTATCAAACATTGAATGCGTTCATATTTCGGACTTTAGTCTCATTTGTTAAAGAGAGCATATACCAGCATTATTACAAAAACTGAAAACATTAATTTTGCTAATTAAAGTCAAAAAATATCATACTATATCAAATTAGGAGACTTTAGAAGGGTGTGAGTACTGGCTTTGCTAATATTTAATATAAATATTGTTATAAAATAAATCGTTAATCAATGTTTTAGCTATTACGATAGTGTCGGTGATTTACAATTTAGTTCAGCAAAATGCTTAGGAAGTAGAGTCTATAGATAGCAGCCATAGTATCAAGAGATAAGGACAAGTCAGTTAGCGTAATTGATTACCTGATCAGATATTGCGACCAAAATAGATTCAGGATTGACATTGCCATGTACTATGAAATTGGAAAATAATGATTCCATTGCTTGGATAAGATCACGTACGATTTGTTGGATATTTTTTGCTGTTAGAAGTTTGGAATGAATTAAACTCTTCAACGGTTGTATTTCTTCATTAACTATGGAGTAGCAAGTTATCCTATATCATACGATCATAAAGTAAAGGATTAAAAGGTCCTGCTTACTTTATGTTGTGCAATATACATAGGATGCAAAATTATGAGCTCTAAAGCTATTAACCAAGCTTAATAACTGAAAATTTCTTAATAATTACAAGTTAATTTTGTTATCTTTATTTACAGTTTTTGTGATAAATTATGTTGTTCCAATTTAAAATGGAAGCTTCTTCCTTCGGTTAAATACAAGCTATTGACGATATTTCTTAATTGATAATTATGTGATCTCATCATTTTCTGAAATTGCTTTTCGTTTTCCCATAATTTTCGATCTTTTAAGTCATACAATTTAAGAATTGCGATCACACTCTTTTTGTTTTTGGCGTGAAATTGAACTTTAAATGAATCCTAATTATATCAAAAATGATTTAAACTTTGAATCAATCCTAATTATATCCAAAAGATTCGCCTATTAGAACAATCGATAGATTGTTTATAATATTAAGATACTGCATCCAAATGTAAGAAATAAATTGACAATAATATTTTAATGAGCTATTCGTGAAAGCATCAGCTACTGTAAATAAATTTGATGTGAACAGTTAATATTGGTGACAAAGATATTCGATAAGATTTAAGTATACGAAATTTGATCATTGTTTATTTTTGATATCGTCATAATTTTAATTGTTCAAATTAATGTGAAAGACAACAATATGAAAGAGCATTTTTAACAGTGTAAAGTACAAAACGTCTGGAATCTGGTTAGAGAGGCACCTGTGGAATGTGTATGGTAGTTACTAAATAGAATACTCACTTTTACGATATCGTCATTTATTACTGCCAATAGTTTCATGTATAGACTTTGGTCGAAATTAAAAATGGCGTCTAAAGAGAAGCAGAATCAAGCCGTCAATAATAACTATAAATGGCATACTGAGATTATCTATTGCTAATGAAATCGTTAAACAACAATAAACTAGTTATATAAACACAGCATGAAATAACTATTACACTCTTTACTTCCTAAGCTATTGCTAGAATTAGGTTTCTTTTGAGCAGATTCCGATTGTGATGGCATAAATTGACGAAAATGTTGGCTTGAAGTATCCCAAAACTGCTTAGCGGCGTTCATAAACATTGTTGTAAATAATGTATAAAGGATTGGGTTAATGCATGAATTCAGTGGCAAAGAAAGTACAGCAACAAACGGCAAAGTATGAATGTCCAGAATGTTACCAAGCAGGATTTTGGCTAATATAACATATAACGGAACCCAACAGATCAAATCAGTAAGAACAATGGTGATCATCTTGTATCGTATAATTTTATCATTAAAGCGTTCTTCGCGTTTTGCTGCCTTACGCGCTTGAGTTAGCGTAAAGATGATAACAGCATACATAATTGCAATGGCTATCCATATTAAAAAAGTTACACCACAGTAGGCGAATAGCCATGCTACATAATTTGGATTGTCGAAATTACTGGGTAAACAGGCGCTATTGCTGCCATATAAACGATTAATAGCAGGCTGATTAAAGCTTAAAATAATAGGTACACCAATAAATACAAACGATATCAACCATGCCATGGCTAATAATCCGCTATTAGTCTTAAGTGATAAACGACAATCAGAAAAAGGGTAAACTAAATGCAAGTAACGATCAAGTGTGATTAAGAACAAAACTATAGTTGACATAAAACTAGATAAGGAGACGAGAAAGGATGCCAATAAACACATTGGACTTCGTAACCAGGCTTCAAGATATTCTGAATAAACTCCCGCAAAGTAAATATTAGCTGATGCAATAACGATTAAGTAGAATCCCATGATAGAGTCAGCAATCGACAAATGAAGCAATTGTCTCGTTGAAATAGGACGTTTAGAATCCTTGGATCGTATTCCCCATATGGCAGCAAGAACATTACCAATAATGGATATAGAGCCAAAAATCCAAATCATAATACTTAATAGGCCATGGGATAATAGATCTGAACATGTAGATAACTCCATTTGGTTTGCAAAAGGCTCACATACAGTCACTGAGGATGGTACAACGCAACAGAGATAAACTCGCGTTGAGTATCTAATAGAAAAATGATCAAGTAAATTTTTCTGCTACTATTGCCAAGATTATACTGAATATTAAAGAGCGTAATAATTAAACCTGTGTGGCTTAGGATTGTAATAAATATATCCAAAAGTATTTGATCAAAATTTAAGAATCTAATTCTTATAAAGTAACAGTCTCGGCCGAGATAGAATTGAAAGAGTCGCCGTTATTATACAATACGATTATAATTAATGCTGCAAAATACTCATTTTTCAGTCCGATATTTAGTCTACTGAACAAACTACTATGCCTAAAGATAGGAGTTGCACATATGTAAATGTCACTATTAGCATAATATTGCTTAAAATCATTTATACTTCAGTAGAGTATCTTCATACTGTGCAATTTTTCTGAACTATTTGTAGATCGCTATGCTAAACGTAGCAAATAATCCACGATACAAACTTGGCTAAATAATATACTAAGAGTAAGTAAATAAATATGCTTACATTTCTCGTAATACAGAGTTTTCTAACAGAATATCTCCAGAAAATTCGATTAATGGATTATTTCGTAGATTCCTGAACGACATAAATAGCATAAAAATTAAGAAATCAACGTTATTTTATTGAAATATCATAGTCTGACAGTAATAGGCATCATCTTGTTTAGTACTCTGACATTATTTGTCGTAACTTACTATAGAATTAAATTAAGATTGAGAAAATATTGTCGTATCTAATATAATTAGGATTAAAAAATAATAACAACACCAAAAACATCTATTATTTTCTATTTGCTATATCTTATATGCTATATTTCACAATTAACTTACAAAACTCGTAAACTGCGAGAATATGACAGACAATAATTTTCTAAGGTCTTTATTTGATTTCCTTCTAGATTTCTGTTCAGGAATGCAATAGATTATAATTATTAAAAATCTAGTAAAACGTTAACGTACTGATATTTTTCATTGCCTCTATTGATTAATAATAACCTGTTTTCGTTCGCAGTAAAATTTAGATAACACTAATTCAGTGTTCATTCGTTAGTTGTTATAACAAGATTTTAAATCATACATAATTTGTTTACTAAGTCAAATCTATGTTCCATATTTCATTTTTTTAATTAAGGAAAATAAATTAGCTATGGTAATTTGTCTAAATTTCCGTTAAAGAAATACTATGATAAACAAGTAAATTCTGAAACAAAGTGATAGGACGTAGGGTAACTATGTTTATAGAAGTTGAAGCATGTAAAGAATTTACATGAAGAATAGGTATACTCTAAAATATCGGGTATCTAAATAGGTAAAAATTTCCAAGATAGCAATACACATGTTATTTTAAGTAAATAATCAAATTATTAGCAGATGAATGTGCCAGCCTTACAAGATTGCCAATGATAACCACGTCCTAATGTTTATATCACTGGAACAAACGCTGCTAATTTTGTTATAAGATAAGTCTCTGCAATGCATGAATTTGAAGCATACAGTATTAATTACAGTTTTTTCATTAACTCCAAGTTTGATTCTACAGCAGTCTAAATGAATAATTGCGTTAATAAAAATTAATTATTTTCATAACTATTGCAATAAGAAACTAATTCGAAAGTATGTCAAAATATTGGTTACATACTGTTACGGAGCTAAGCATTGTACATGTTAATTAAGTAGGCTTCGCATGTAGCTAATAGCAATACAGCAAGCAGTAATTATGAACATTAATCGTGTATAGTTTTGCTAGACAACCAAGATGCAAGCGTGTTCTGAAATCAATTAGTATAATCTTTATAGATACTAATATTGGCCACACCTTAGCACTCGCCGCAAAGTGCGAGTAACGTGCGAGTAGCATGCAGAGTCTCGTTCGTTTCTTTCGCTATTTATTAGTTATTGCCAATTAAAATTGTTTACTAGTTGTACTTATAGTGAACTATATAGCTATTGAGGATTGTTTATCTATACGAACCATGTAAATATTATGTTGCTAAATTACTATGTGTGCACCACATGTGTGGTGGTAGGGTATAAAAGGAGGAGTGAATGCTCAGCTTCTTAGTTCGTGATTAGATAGCGTTTCGAATACTCAATTAATACAACTATAGTAAACTCTTAGAACGGTCTTATTCCTATGTGGCCGCAAGTAGTATAGAACACCACACAGTAGGCCTCCAGGTGTAGTGGAGATAATAAGTAATCTATTACTGTCGGGTAGTAGTTCGTAAGTTAAGTTATGATACATACACAGATTTCAAACTTCGAACATATTTCAATTTAGAATAGTCTTCGTTTCCTAATTGATTGTTGGCTAGATTCCTGTAATTAAAAGAAGCTGATTTACTTCGACATGTTTCTGATTATGTTTTGTTATAGTTCATTATTATGAAATGGCAATTATTTCTTTGAGGGGGGGGGGGCGTTCCTATGAATATGAGCTTCAATAAGATGTAGTAGAAGAGTATTTTTAGAAATATTCTATTTAAGATCAAAGTTGAGTCAAAGATACATTCCACATATGTGTGTTAAGATATACTGATCGATTTAAGATAGGAAAATGGAAGGATTAATATGGAACTAGATAACAGAAGTAGTAATTCATATTTTAGAACTTTAAGCTAAAAATGTAAGCTATGATTAAATTAATTTTATATTTCATGGTTTCTAAATCTAGGCAATAATTTGGTGTACTTCAGCTGTTCAGTGTGGGAATTACACTAGGGATAGTCAAGTATCGATATATAATTGTTGGATAGAACCGATGCTAATTGAAATTTATCAAATTTTTGAAACATGTACCGCTATTAAATGATTTAATAACTTACTAGTATATATTAATGACAAGTAAACCTACAAGACATTTATTGTAGATTCAAGATAAAAAGTAAAATTTAAATGTCTGTAAGGCTATTTTAAAAATTGAACTTATAATAACAGAATAATAGATGAGCGGGCTAGTACAGTTTAAATGTAATTTATTAAACTTTAGCATGCACTGCCTGTCTTAGTGAATAGATGACGGTAATTTAATAATGTAAAAACAGTAGTAACATACAGATGCGATACCAGATTTAGCAGCTTGATAAATCTTTCATCCAGAGACTGGATGAGATTGTCTTTTAAACTCCTAATAATTGATTAGGAAGAAATTATTTCCTTACAATCCTGGCAGATAAAATTATGTTTCATGAAACTTCTAAAATTGACTATTCCCGTCGCGTTAGACTTTCGACGTCTACCATAAATTGTAGTGAACGGAGATTATGCACTAATTTAAGTACACATACAGAGTTATTACGGAGCGTATGTAAGGTAGTAATTTTGGAGGGAACGAACGCAGTTGAAGACCATCCAGTACGCTAAAACGATGATACAAAAGCAGACATTAATTCCGCTATTAATTTAAGAGTAGTTATCTATTTATAAAAATTGTATCTAAGAGTAACCTATGTCTATGAGATAATGTAGTTTACTGTAAAACGTCAAATAAACTCAAAATTTTCAAATTATAATTATATATCAAACATTTCATATGTCTACTCGTAGTAATAACATCGACTGTAAACTAGCTATAGTTCCATATAGCTCTCATAGCCTCTTCTATGCGCTAAGAGAATACGAGTAGTATCAAATCTTTAAAGAAGATATTCTATGATATGTTTTATCAAGTCATATAAAAATATCGACGACAACTTACAGCTTTGTATATTCAGACTTTTTTGATAAAATTTCAAAAATATCATTACTAGAAAGGCGAGTGTAACCTAATGTCCTAATTAATGATTACCAAAGTATGGAAAAACTTAATTGATAAGATCATACATTCGTTAATTATTTCCGACTTTAGAAAATAACAATCTTTTGATCTGTTTCTTAAAATAAAACTTATACTCGTACGTACACGTCATCTAAACGGTACAATTTTTCAACAAAGTCTTTTCTAAGACCAATTAAGTTATTACCATCAAGTGATCTGAAAAAGACGATTTACTTCTCAAAAACCAATTTCATGTATTTATGTTGTTGTAAGCTAGAAAATGTAAGTTACAACTAGGAAAGGTATGTTACAGAGTCAGGTACTCTAACTTCGTAATCAATGCTATAATTTATTTTAGTTTTATTTACTAAAGCTGCTGTTCATCTTGCAACTCTTGCAACCATGCAGACAATATCTGGTAATGCATACTTATCTTATGCTTACTGTATACTTTCCTATCGTAAAGTACTAAGTTACGGAGAGTTAGTTGGTTAATCATAAGTTTTGATATACATAAAAGTAATTTATGTTATCTGCTAAGGTATAGTCAGTAGGGATGCTAAATTACATTAATCTAATTTTGTATTAATTATGATTTCGTGTGCACTGTCGCTGGCTAAGTGGGAGTATATAAAGTCCGCATATAAATTACAGCATAAGTTTAGTAGTTGATATTTGGTTCTCTGTTCTCGATACTGTTCTAATATATGATAGTAAAATTTTTGTTGTTTAACTGGTCTTGAATGATAAGACTAACATTAGTGATAAAGTAGTTGTAATCTACACCTGTTACAGTTTTCATTAGTCTGCTGAAAAATAAATCTACAATGCCAGAATTTGCTTAATCTAGACTTGTCGGATTAGTGTTTTATTGCAAGTAAGCTGTAATAAAGTAACTTTAATATAAGAATACTCATCACCAATTTAATTTCTACATTGACATTGTCTACTACTTCTAATGCAGTAACTGACACGAGTACTTCAAATAACTCCAAATGTTTACTTCATTATTGTTCTATATCATAAAATTAGCGTTTCTACAAACTCTTATTGGCAAAAATTCGTTATTATTTTCTTTTCACTCACAAATCATATATGCCTGGCAAATAATGGATCAGTTGATTTACAAAGGAAGCATTGAGGCCACAATATTGCAAAGATCTAGTTTATGAAATCAATATAATCACGTCGAAAATATCTTCTCTTTACTTCTAAGTTCTAACCAGAATTATAATTTCTTATTCTATAACGGTACAAAGGGCTATTAAAGGTAGTTTGCAAAATTTAATAAATTTAATATTCATGTCAAGTGATTGAGATCGAATACTTTTAAGCAGGAGCCATTGTAACTATAAAAAAAACTATAACAAATTGTATAGCACATAATTTAGTTACTATATGGTAAATAAAAGACAATAAGAATAGTATAAGGCCTTACGCTTGTAATTCTAATTGTAGATTTGTTACAGAAATTGCCTTTACGGTCTAGTAATGCTACTGTAAATCCAGCATATCAGCTATTAACAGCAACACAATTTACGATCTATTTGGTATGTTCCTAAACCAAATATCAGATAGAACTTGACGCTTCGTAGTTTAAGCTAAGTAGTTGCATTACTAGTATTGAAACCTTCTAGTGGATTACATAGTAATTTAGGTAGCTGATGAAGACAGTAGTCTTTATCAGTAAAGATGTCCAATGACTATTACAAGGTAGTCAAATTGCATCACCGACACACAGAATATTCTTAAATTAATCAACAATCTCTCATAAATCAATTCAATCACAGTTATTCAAACTATCAAAAGATTGTTCTCAGCTTCTTCATATAAATATTAATTTTAGTATTGCTATCTCACAATAGTCGGTATAGTAATAAAACATGATACTATGTATTAATACTAGAAATTGACTAAATAAGGTTAAGCTTAATCAAATTATTCTAACGTAGACAAAAATTCCTATTCCCATCTCCATAATGTAGTTGCTTAACTTAGTAGCTAGATTGTAAAGAATTTTATTGCATAAATGATTCTATAAACAAGACACTGTAATGCAGCTATCATGGATTCATTATTAAACTTTTACATTTGAATATTTCAACTTTAATTATGTAACTGAGCTTAAATTTCGCGACTTCAACTTATAGGTAAAGTAGAGATATCACTACTTTTGGCTACTGCGACGGAGTGCAAGAGTTCGTCAATTTGTAATACGTCTTCCAGTCAAATTTTAGTTAATGTAGAAACAAATAAGTGTAAAAAGTCGCTACAAAATTGCAATTAGAAGGATGAGTAGTTTCCTCAAATATCCGTAAACTAAAAGCATTGGTTTGGTATATTTCTCCTTGCAAGGCTAGCTTTGGATGAATTCATAGCAACTCAAAAGCTCAAGATGTACAGTAGGTGAAGGTTTATAGGTGAATTATCAAATTGTGAATAAAATTCAATTGGAATTTTGGCTATGATATTATATTTATCGAGTAGCAAAGAGAAATTTGTATGCCTTACAAGCCAACAAGCGAATTCATTTCAGTAAATGTTTCCATTTCTAGATACTTTAGTTTTGGTAGGTTGTTAAGATAACTAATAAAAGTAATGAACAGTTGCTATTAATTTACGTTTAATTAAAATGCAAATAAGTAGTTGTATTATTATTGAACTTACAGTGCCAGTATATGAGACAAGCCAGCAAAGGTATTCTTTACGATAGAAGAAATATTATTATTACTTAAATTCCTGCAGAAGAAATATTAAATATACAGCTTTTATTTAGAAATTATTTTTAAATTTTATGGAAATTATTCTCTTTACTTTGAATTATGAAAGACATTAAATAGATTTTGGATCAAGTCATAACGATGCCAAAATATTAAGCATTGTCCTACAGATATGGTAAATGGTGTCGTTATTATCAATAGCGTAATTTGTGCTTTGGTTTTCTATGCTTTGTAGGATACTTACAAATATTCGATAAGACTAACTCCAACAAAAGCAAAATCGGGAATTACTTCAATTTTATTACGATCTAACTCCCTGAATAAGCGATAAAATGACATCTATAAATTTTCTCAGAATTAAAATTTTATGACCATTTAACTACTATAAAATACCAACATAGTTTTTAAACATATACAAATCCAATGGTTAAATCTTGAAATAGTATTCTAATCTAATGATGTTTTGTAGAATTATTACAAATTGTTAGATTGCAACTAAATTATATAAGATAAAGTAGAGTAAAAATTTTTATCATGTAGTTAAAATCAAATCAAAAATATATTCCTAGAAAAACCATAGTATGAAGTTTTAGGTAAATAATCTTAGCACAATCATTTAACTTCGCTATTTATTCTTCGCCTTACAGGTTTATGAGACGCGGGGTATTTGTAAATAGCTGAACCGGAATCTCATTTAGATTATTACCACTTAATGTGCTAAAAAGCAATAAAACAGAGAATAATCATCTTTTTGCATACTTGTTCTTTACGATTCTCATTAGGTATCGGACATAAGGTAGTTTGTTAATAATCAATTTTTACAGAGTATGAGCAATGGAATCTACACCAAGCACTTCTTTGTCGATTTTGGATATTTTGTTATTCATAAATCTCCTATTTCAATAATAAATAATTCCGAGTTACACTAATTAAATATCGAACTGTGCCTTTCAAAGTTATAGTATAGGTAATGTATTTTATATTTCGAATCGAAGTAGCTTAATTACACAGATTGCAATGGGGAATTGGGAGGGAAAAGATGAGCGCCAAGATTTTCTAGTTGATTATTATTCAGATTTCTATTTGATTGTAAAACGGAATTAGACTTTAGGTTAGTTAGCAGACATTAAATCAAAGCCATTGCTAGTGCTGTGGCAAGATTAATATTTGACAAATTTAGGTGAAGTTTAACGTCCCTTTGGGACATAGCTTGATTGGCGAGACTGTTTAGTCAATGTACAGTTTTTATTAGATACGTAATAACTAAAAGTTCTGCTGTATTGCTAATCAGTGATTAATTTAATAGTAAATTATTATTTTCATTTTTCTTTGTTACAGAATAAATTTCTATGCCAACCAATGCGTTATAGCAATGCAAGTCCTTTACAACATATAGGTTGGATTTACCATCGGTCATCCAATCACATTTTATTTTAATGCATGCGCTACTGATTACAACCAAAAATTAAAGGCTACATTACTTTATTATGCAATATTATGAGTATATTAAAGAAAGTAAATTAGCTTTTGTCAGTTAAAAATAGAAAGATGTTAATACAACGCAAGTTAAAAATCGCAAGCATTTATTACCACATGCTGCCAACCGGCTTCGAACTGATCCTTAGTATAGTAATGCTGTGTTCTTATAATCATAATAACTAAATGATGACTGTCTAAGTTAGCTTGTTCAGCTATTTTGGATCAAATCAGTGATTCTAAGCAGGCAAAAGGTGCTATCAATTTGCTATCAGTTCTCAAAAGCTTTACTAAAAGGCGATAACGCATATTTATAATAATGTTTCTTATGTCGAATTATTTATAATGCAAAATGATAGTTTGCTGTATAATAAAAAGAAAGACCTGAAATATTTGTCTAAAAATACAGATGGACTTACATCCTTTCTAAGGCAATCAGGTCCATAAACACATTCGTTGGCAGCTCTGATATCCTATTGGCACTCAAATCTCTAATATTGTGTAAATTATATGCAGACATCAAAAATTGATTTATTTTACTGTGATCTATATTTTGTTCTTAACACAACAGGTAATTTTTGACCTAAATGACAAGGCAAGATTTTGCCAACTTAATTATTAAAGCTACTTAAATTTTCGGACGCTATCTATTTATTTCGACCTAGGGTATACGCTTATGGCGATATACGAGTATCTAGTTAATAAATTTCAATATTTATGCTATCGAAAGTAAGACTGAACGAAAGTTTTAATTAAATCACGTCACCTCAATCACGTTGCTTACAGCTCTAGAAGAATTATTTTAGTGTCATATATCTGATAATGCTATTGTATTTTCCATAACCTATCATCACCCTAACTAGCTGTTACTAATTATAAATGATTTCTTTTACTGATATTAAGCTATTATGACAATATTGTAGGAAAATCTGATTTAAATATATTGCAAGCCAACGCTTCGTTTTTTTAGTGGCGTTTTATTATTTGTGTACAATATTAAGGAGAACCATATTGTACTTTGCTTTAAAACTAAAAGCAATAAATCAATATTCACTACATGCATTAAACTAAAACATAACAGTAATAAGAATATGAGTAATAAGCTCGTTTGCATTATGAGGAGCTTCACTTCTTATTGCATATAAATAAAATTCCTACATATGATCGTTACATCTGCATAATTGCGAATCAGGTATGTAGTACAGATCACTGCTTCATCGAAATACTTACAATTCCTGCAATATTTTGCATTCTCTGAATTGTTTGCGATTGATAGATTGGATAAGATTATGGCTTGCATTACTGATTTTATATACAATGAATAAGTTTTCAGATTTTACTGATTTATTAATGATTATTAATGAATACCGAAATATAGTTACTTACAAAAATTTTATTTGCGTTCCTGTGCAGACATGAGAAGGAAGAAATTGCAAACGATTGAATTGTAGTTTCCTGGAGATATAAGTATTAACGAAAGTGTTGTCTTTGTTTTAAAACAGATTTCTTTGTTTTTGCAGGTACTCAAGTATGCATAGTAGCCAAGCACAGATGAGTCTGAATATATTCTTCTCACATTTATTGAGCTTGTTTGCTATAGAATAATTTTTACTTACACTTCAATGACGGACCGAAAGGCAGTGAAGAATCCATCATCGATTTTGGAGATGTAATTGTTATGCAAATGCCTGTCAAAGTTAATGCATTCATTTTAAATAAGATTATACGCAGTTGATTTCCAAAATTTTATTAAGCTTTGCTGCATTAGAAATTTAAAATTTGAGTATAACTAGAACAAATCGCAATCCGCTTATAAGTTAAAGTTTAGAAAGATGCTATCATGGCAGAACACACTGGATTTTAAACTCGAACTCATTTGGATTTAGGATGTAATTGGCGGTATTGTCACAGTATCAACTGCTGGTACCGTAAAGAATTATATCACAAATTTAGTGAATTCAACATTTCAAACGTTATTTGCAATTAATTGTTGTAATAAATTATAAATTGTACTGTAACAAGAATTTTATATAGCAATGGGCCTTAATTGATTATATTTCTAATTCTTGTAATAGAAATCCTCCTGACGACCGATAATTAATACGTCATACTGCAAATGATTCTGTGAATACACATACTCATTTCCAGTTATCTAGAATTAGTCGGTAGATGTCCTTGACTATTGCAATGTAACTTGGTATTGTGATTGTAGACTGTTAGCTATGTTTAGTATAATGTACGGTAGATATTTATCCTAAGAGATATTTAGTAGCTATAACTATAGACTGTAGTAGTATAGACTCTATGCTAGAGTACAGATGACTATATACAGTAAGGTGTTATTAAGTTACTAATAAGGCTATAGGTAAAAACAGAACTGTAAATCATATATTAGGATATGGTTAATTCATTGTACTTTGGCTAGTGTGAATAATGTCTACGTAAATACTGTAGTCGTATCCATATCGGATTAATGATGGTCCGCAGTAGAATAGTGTTACCAAGAATAATTTTACTATGTATAAAGTAAGGTAAAAGGTTGCCCTTCGGATAGTAGCTGCAAATGCTACGAAAAGTATAAAAGCATGCAGCCTTAGATTATTCAGTTACTTCGTTGTAGAAGTCTTTAGAAGTAGTAATGGGCTAGAGTAAAGCTGTGTGTAGTTAATCTTTGTATAAGATTCAATAAAGCCCTTATTTTTCTAAAATTTGGAATTTCGTGATCGGTATATATCACAACTATAAATATTTCTATCTTCATTTAGTTATAAAGTATAAATTAACTATTAGAATATTACGATAACTCATCAATGTTGCCTGCTGCCGAAGAATATAAAAGCGCGATAGATAATGAACCAAATCAATTTTTTAGTTGTTAGGGTAAAATTTAAGGGGATTTAAGTTCCTGCGAAGAGTCAACGCGAAAATTGTATTCGTAGTATAAGAACAGATTTTAATGTATAATTGATTGTGACCGCAGATTCTACGGAAAATCTATACGCATACAAGTTCAGATGATTGGTAATTCATTTTCAGATCTTCAAGTGAGTGTATCGGTGTCACGGTAGTGAATCTACCGTGATGAATGATAACTTACTTAATTTAGACATGTTTATGTATCACGTTTAGATAGTTATTAATTTGGATATGTGCATGAATTATTTGATGACTTAATATAGCCGATATAAACCTGTTCCTAATACAGGTTAAATTATACTAAATATGGTAAATGAATTGCTAATGGCAAATTCAATATAAATCCCGTTAATTATAAGCTAGGGCAAACATAAAGTTAATCTATAGTAATATTACAAATTCACTAGATTAGACTAGGAATAATTTAATGTATTCTCGAAGTCTTACTGGTCGAAATATATCACACATCGTAAACCGGTTTAATGCCTCGAAAAGCTATTTAAATGATTGATTTTGAATATTAAATTAGACTTGCATTTTCTAGAATAAAGATATAGTTAGAAGATTCTGAAAGTGTATTTCTCAGTCATTGTTACTTATCTAGGGTAATCTAAATTAGTTTAGATTAGGCAAGTTTAGTTAAGTAACAATCGGATAAGAGCAGGGCTGCGCGTAGTACTGCATATTTTGCGCAAAGATGTAATGAATTTCTAATTTTTTGCACGTACTAAAAATTCACTATTTGTTTATTAGCATCGTATTTCAAAACTCATTTGCTAGCAGACAAAAAGCAATCGTGAAATACAGCAGCATATAACTTATAGAACAACTTTAATTGCTGACCTATACATAAACTATTGCAGCTAACTTACAAATTTTTAATTGTCTGGGTATTCTTCGCAGTTTTCATTTGCAGATGAGTCAAGGCATTAAATGGTAGATATCTATGTAATTATAAGATTGACAATAATTTTAAAGCGTTACCGTGAACCAGATTCACGTTTAAAAATTTAAAATTAAACGTGATAAATGAAAAATGATATCCATACAAATCTATAATTATAATTCCAAGATATCTTATTCGAATCAATAAAATGTGCTGTTGCATTACATTACTGTATAAATATATAATTTTACTCCTGTAAAATCAGAAAGCAAGCCAGTGCTTGCTTTACTAACGGTAGGTAATGAACTTTGCAATTATCGCAATAGTCTTTGCATTTCTCCGTATTTACGAGCGTATATAAAGTAGAGCAATAAAACATTCACAATAATATCAGCTTCATTTTTAGTAAAATGTTGCTGTCAGGGTCTTAAAATAAAGCAAGACTTCAATTTCTTACAGAATTATAATATAATTTACAAATTAGTTCTTTGACTAAGGACTACGCCCATTAGCATCTTTTTCTGATAATTACAATTACACGATTCATCTACATTAGATTCAAATTTATTTATGGTTCAAAAATTAGTCGGTTCACAGTTTAATCGATTCTCAGTCTTAGCTTGCTTATTGAAGGGAGTGACAGCTGGCAAGTCTATCAAAGCATCGTAGCCTGAATTTTATATATTTCTACAGCTTGCTTTCGAATACTTTAAAGATGCATCTAGTCTTACGGAATAAAAGAACGACAGTATAATCTGCAATATGATATACACTGGTATTAGTGACCCCAAAAATATCGATCTTTAATATTAATTTTTCGATTAGAACATAAGATGAAGAAAAAATTTGCCTGTATATGCAGAGTTGCTAAACGGCTACTGTGATTTAGAAGAAGAATTTTTCATTTCGTTATTCTGTTTTGAGGTAAATTAATGAAAGTACAAGAGTAATGCAGCCTACATTTGATTACATTGATATCTCCAAATAATTAAATCAGAGAAATAATAGCTTTAGATACTGCACGTAATGCATTATTTATGTTAGTAACAATATTGATTGCTAAAACTCATCTTAGTTGATTAATAATAGTTCAAAACGGCGAAAAAAAGGCCTAAGAGGTTTCTGTTAGAAATCAATCAGATAGGTCTTAACTAAGTCTTTATTATTACGTCTACTTGGTTGTGATCATATATAATTGACGCTTATCTAGTTATACTATAGCACCTTTTAGATCAATTAATGTACTGTAATTATGAAGATGTCCAATATCTTGCAGGATTAGATATTACTAGAAGATAAATCATATCTGAAGAGAATATATTCTTGCGGTAGAATTCGTCGATTTTAAATTCGAGGAAAAGTTCATTTTTAATAGTTTTAGCCTGATAGCAGGCAAATTTGCTGCCGTAGATAGATTGGGTTAAATTATTTAGAAGCTACTGGACTCATGATTCCTCTGAACTCATGTGCATAATTTATATTGCTAGAATCAGATTCTTTTAAATTGAATGAATTTGTTGAACTGTTGAGTTATAAAATTTTCCTTTATAATAATGGGGATGACTATGATCTATCATTTGATAGTAAGACCTTTTACATATCATTAAATGTACAGCTAATCCTGCCATACTGAATGCTTTTGAAATAAGCTGTAAATAGCGTATATTATATAATCCAGTGTCACGGTACGAACTACCGTGAAGAAATAGCTATCTAAATTTGGTTAATATAATATGGTGATAATATATTACAACTAGTTACTTACAATAGGAATTACTCTAATTATAAATTTGTTACAGTAAATTTAATGCTGTGCTGTAATGTGCACTGAAATGATTCTGTGATTGGACATATTTTAGTCCTACAGTGAAAAATTAGTTAGTAGACGTTCTCACCTAAGTATTTTTATAAGATGACTCATGAATGTTAGCTGCTGTAGAACGGTATATAAGCCCGTCTGATAGTTGAATAAAGTATTTCTCAATTGTCTAGGTGAGTTTAACGTAGGATCAAAGGCGTCTAAATTCTTGTGAGGTAACTAAGGGATATTGAATCCCGCAGACTATATTAATTTAGAGATTTGTATTACGTTATCTTTGTCACGAAGCTGGTTTGTGACATCCAGATAATAAAAACATAATGAAATTGATAGCATAGACTAAAATTTATATTTCTATAATACATACAGAGCCTGCAGATTCTCCAGGTGCTCAGTCATTACAAAGTCAAAACTTCGTAATCCATTTAAAGAGAAATCGCTAGCGAAATTTAATTAAGCTGATCAATAAATCGACAAATAATACTAATTGCACTTTTACTATGTGCGATAGCGCTATAAACTGACCATATTAATGATTAAGTGAATAGATCGGATATTTTATAGTACTTACATGCTTTGCAGATAGGGCGTATTTTGAAATAAATTGGCTGGTAAACTAGTTAATATGTTTCCTGCCAAATCTCTTTTTGTATTTGGAAGAAATTATTTTAGTATTTAAAATAGACTAATCCAAATTACCTGTAATGAAATGCGTATTAGCTAGATTTTTGATAGCCCTTAAAAGTAACATAGACTGAATAAAAATCATCAATCATTGCGTATAAAACTTAGTAAACTTACACTGTCTGAAGATTGGTCATATTCGCGAAGTAACCAGAATGTAAGTCCCGTATTTTACATTTGTAGCATTTACTAAAATGTTATTTATTGTAAAGTTTAATTGCTATGATTTACTCTTAAATATTTAATAACAATTTATGCAGGTTATACATTAACCATTATATTAAATTATAAACGAAATTCTGTCAAGAGTTTACCCTTAAGACAATATTGTAATAAATGTAAAATCGAAAAAAGAATTTCGATGCCATTTAAACATCGTTAGAAAAGGAAACGATATATGCCTTAAACTGTGCTGATATCCGATAGGATTATAGTGCTAGCACCTTAGCTTCGTAACAAATACGCCAAATAAATGAAACAGATAATTTTAATATATTATAGGCAGGCAAGCGATACCATTCATTCAAAATTCTGATCAAGTGTTACAGTGTCAAATACTGCATTATAGTAGACATATCTATGTTAGGATAATCCTGTTAGACTATCCTTATTTAGTTAACTTCTAATTTGGATATACTGTGTTTTAATATAACACTGACTTTTTATGACAGTGACACTTATACACATACTGAAATTAATAGTTATAATAGGGAATGTAAATCATCTACTTACAGTTCGAATCATTGTAATTGTAATTTACTTATGGTAGATTGTAAATTATCATGGAAATGTTCCATGATAGGACATATCGTAATCTGACTATTCTGCATTAGTCATTACATGTCTATGTTCGTAAATGCTGTTGTCTGCGTTAAGGGAGCAGTAGCTAAAATTAATATCTAATTCAGTAAATGATTCCAATGTTAATTGTATTAACTATGACTCATGAACTATTGAGGAATAGTATATAAATGCAGTATATCGTGTAATAAAGTGAATTCTCAAACTTAGTGTTTAACGTAAAATACGAGGCGTCTAAGTCTTTGTGTAGTCTGCTAGTAGAGCAAAAGTGTTTGTAATAGTGCAGATATCGTTCCTTGATACGTGGTTCAAGGAATTGACTTATTGACCGTATATTACGTTATCTTGTTGCAAAGCTGTTTTGTGACATCAAGCTATTGCTTAATTAAGCAAATCCGCTAATCTGCGATAAACATATATTAAAAACCATCTCTGTGATCACATAACGAAAAAGCAAAATCAACAAATCTTCTCTTAGAACCTAGTATCATATTTTCAATATTTACTATTATCACTCACAGCAGTAATCCCACTGTCTACTCTATTCTGATGTGAGTGATCAACTAACTTACTAGCTACTTAGTCACTCCAACTAACTACGGAGAGATACTGTAAGTAAGACTAACAACTTCCTTACAAGTATAATAAGCGGCTTGTTGGAAGATTAGTTTTATGAGTTTTTACTTCTATTCATACAACGAAAGTATAGTACCTTGTCGTACACTGGAGAAGTATGAATCTACTCAACTTTTTACTTACATCTCTCGTAAACGGTCACATTGAAATTGTTTCCAATATACCGGGTTAAATTTGTTGTCGTCAAGTTCACTATAGAGCCGAAATATATGATATGTAAATGTGGGCATAGTTGACATTAAACTATCGATATTTCGAAAGCTTAAGCTCAGTCATAATTGTGATATTGATGATTTTTATTTAAGAAATAACTTACATTATCTCTGCCTGCAGCGCCGCAGATTGCTGATTTTCATCATTGACAATAAATTTATTTATTTGGTTCGATATTAGGTTTCTTAAAAAAATTTTCAACGGTAAAAGTTAAATGCACTTAGTTAGGAATAAACTTTCCGTCTATCATTTATGATTCATAGCAAATGCAAAAATTTTTTTTACTATCCTAATTCGATGTTTACTCGTATGTTTACATATAAGAAATCCTTAAACAAATTTATAATTAAGTATCAGTCGTTAATTTTTAAGCAATTACTTTAAACATTGCACTGTTACAAAATAAGTAAGCAGGATGTATATTAAAGTCTAAGTTAATCAATAAAGGACAGATTGTTATCGCAAGGTTTCAATCTTATCAGTTCGTCTGAGCATTCGACTATTTTCGATGGCTATGTCTCTACCCATTTATTTGCTTCACTATCTTAATCGAAGCACTGCGTTGAGGGGGAGGTAAATAGTTAGTTGCTTGAACTATGATATATTAAGTATCACAGCATGTAATATAGAGCTATAAATAGTGCCTAATAAATTAAATTGTTTCGTAAGTCGATTATGAAATAGAAAGGAAACTTCTTGAGACCCTGGACCAGGCTATGACTAGTAATATAACTAAATAAATTGAAGGTTGGTGTAAATGTAATAAAAATGTCTCACAATAACTATCTTAGTCAAATGATATGTTCTAATGGGCTTTTATTACAAGGTTTTAGGAATAGTAGAGCAATAATTAATTGCTACAAGAATCCAGTCTAAAATCTAAAGTATCCCGAGCTCAAAGCGAAGTGAGATTTCTTTTCCCTTGAACTAATCTCTGCAGTTCTTAAATATATTTCATTAAATCTATTTATGATAACTTGATTAATCTACAATCAGACATGGGCTATCTAACAAAGTACTTTTCTCAAATAGTGCATCATTATCTTCTACAATCCAAATCAACTACAGTGTTTCTAGCTACATAATCTTGTACCATAATTAGTCAACTGGCTAATATTAGTCATCAACAATTTCTATATAGTAGTTAGCAATCATCTAATATAACTTCTGTGATATATACCAGTCACGAAATTCCAAATTTTAGAAAAATAAGGGCTTTATTGAATCTTATACAAAGATTAACTACACACAGCTTTACTCTAGCCCAATACTACTTCTAAAGACTTCTACAACGAACTAACTGAATAATCTAAGGCTGCATGCTTTTATACTTTTCGTAGCATTTGCAGCTACAATCCGCATGGCAACCTTTTACCTTATTTTACACATAGTTAAATTATTCTTAGTAAGACTATTCTACTGCGGACCATCATTAATCCGATATGGATACGACTACAGTACTTACGTAGACATTATTCACACCAGCCAAAGTACAATGAATTAACCATATCCTAATATATGATTTACAGTTCTATTTTTACCTATAGCCTTATTAGTAACTCAACAACTTACCGTATATAGTCATCTGTACTCTAGTATAGAGTCTCTACCACTACAGTCTATAGTTATAGCTATCAAATATCTCTTAGGATAAATATCTACCGTACATTATACGAAACATAGCTAACAGTCTACTGTACAATTACAATACTAAGTTACATTACAGCTTCATGATAATATCTATTCAGAGTAACCTAACTATATCAAATATAGTTATTAACACAATCGAATATGAGTGCAGCACTACAGTTGGTAATATCAGAAGAATGATAAATCTACCCATTTTTAGGTCAGGGTAAACAAATTAACTAGTCTGCAAGTATGTTAGAGATTTTGGAAATCTGTTTTTGATCTTGTTACTGGTAATCTTCGCTTGTTCTATGCATACTTAAACAAGTGTGAGTGCAGTATAGAATAAGATTACTAAAACTGCGATAGGTAAGAGGACAGATTCTTGTGAAAAACTCGTATCTTTATTTAACCCTACTACTATAAGAAGCATTTCCTACATTACATTAATGGACATAAATTACGGCCGTAAGAATAAATTTAAACGTTGAGTCTAGTGTAATTGGCGAAAATCTTCAATTAACAAAACATTGTCAGCGCTGATAGTTTCCTCTTCAGTTAGCAAACAACCTTTATACTCTTTGTTTCTCATTACTGTTAGCTGCTGTATTTATGCATTTGACTTATGTAAATGATATACTTACAATTTATATAAACTTGGTATGGCCTTGAAGCTCATCAAATTCACATGTTCTAGTTGATTTGCTCTCAAATGACTAAGACAAATATTTTTGAAATACGTTAATTGTAAAAGCGTCATAAAACCAGGCAGAAAATTTTCCTGAAGTCTAAACTGGCTAATAGGAAGTCCTCCTCAATTCAAACAAAATAAAATTTGTAAAATATTCAATTTGAGACTATATAACTTAAAAATATAGCAACCACCGTGATATCTATACTGGTGGAGTAATTTGCATGAAATATTAGAAATATTCTTGGGTTATTACGATGAGATCTATTAACATAAAGACTAGCCGCGATTACACTTTATTAAGAACTTTAATTTAAATGAAGGAAACTATAAGAAATTATGCGACAGTGTAATTAAACTTCATAACTTCTTTATAAAGCTAACATACATGTACGCAGAAAGAAAGCTGTAATGAAGAATGTGCTTACAGTTCATGTAAATTCTTTAGGCCCTTAAATGTGTTTGTTCCAAGCGCTTTTAATTTATTGCTGTTTAAGAGACTAGTAGTAGTGCATTATTGAAGTCATTAAGGCAATATCATTACTTCGAATGAAAAATAGATTATTTTGAAACTGTACGTCACTCCTATACTTAATTAAAGCAGTCATTATCTTCAAAAGAAATTTACAGAATTCGTAATTGAACTAGATCTTGAAATGCAAATTCTTCAATGCTCGTGATCAAATTTCCAGTTAAATTTCTATAATTGAAATTGCATCATATAGAATAATTTTGGGCGTATTAACTCTAATCACTTATTATGGTGTAAATTAAAAGTTTTAATACATGTGTAGACTTACAAAGAATTTAAATTTGATAAAAATAGAAATGCCTTTTTGGTGATAGTGTATAACTTATTGAATGATATTGATCTGGAAATAATTTTTCAGATTTAGAATAAAATATCAAAATACTGGGCATTTTTACGATAAGCGTGTTATTCTTTGATTCATGGGTAGAATAATCTTTCACTTGTGAGCTTATTCACATACTATCCGTAAATTTAGTAAATCATTATTAGCGGAGTTAGATTAGACCAAAGTTTACCTTAATACCAATTAAATTTTTCTCGAATTGTTACATTACCAGTTAAAATTTATGGATCAAAACTTACAAATTAATTAAAAAGGGCAATGAGCTAAAACTGTTGTCCTGGATTGAACTAAT